ATATAAAAAAAAACTAATTTCATTAATTTAAGCACAAACGTGATTTTTCCATTGTATTTTTTAAAAATTCGTAATAAAGAAAGAATTAATAAAAAAAAAATAAAGATTTATTTTAGTGGGAAGTGATTTTTGGCCCACTCTGCAGTTGTGCAATTATACGTACAGATAAGACTAGACCGCATGTGTCTCGACGAATCAAGTACTTGATCACTTACGGTCGAATCTCGATAGTTGAAATTTTAAGGGAAAGAAAAGAGAAATTTCCTCTCGTCGAGTTCTCGAACAAAAGGCATTTAATAAATGAAAGTTCGATTTATAGGAGCATATCGCGCGACTTCTTGAATTAACTTCTCGTTCGTGTCAGCGGTTCCCAACCTTTTTCTCTGTATTCCCTTCTCTCGAAAAAAATTTTTTTTTCTTTTTAAATTCTCTTCGGTTAGCTAAGTAATCAAATTAACCTAGTGACATTTCAAATCGAAACTCTGTGACTTTGTTTTTCCTCGGGTTTTTATTTTAACTCTTGTTTCTCGTGTTAAAATACCAGTATTATTTTTTTTATCATTTCTTTTATTTTATTATTATTATTTTATTTATTTTATTTTCTAATTATTTTATTATTATTTTATTTTCTTTTTATTTTACCACCATTACCAATATTATTTTCGCCTATCACAGGTTGGCAACCACTGGATTATCCAAAGACACGAAGATTTCTTTCTTTTCCTGCTTTTCATATGCTTTCATACGCTACTGTGCACCAAAAACGAGCAGTCCTGTGTTTATCGTTTCTTGCGAGCAATTTTGATACTAACGATTCTAACGATTCTCACACCACAGAGTGTAGTAGTGGTGGTATCGTTTCGAGGGAAAATTTCTAAAGCTGTCACACATGTCGCAGAGGAAACGAGAAATGGCCGTGTGCAACCGTCCTTGCGGAGGAGCAACGAGTAGTCGAATGAGTGCCGTGAGCAAAAACACCGATCGGGGATCGGTGGTGACGAGGTGATCGTAGCAGTTGATATCAACTCACAGTCGGTCGGTGGTACCAACGCAAACGTTCGAACGACATTGTTTTGATTCTCGCCCCACTCGCCGTTACTGCCTTGTGGGACCTGCTCGCCTTTGAGAAACGTGATCTGGATCCTTCTAACGAATTACACTCGCCAATTGCACGATTTCAGTTCAGGAGATCGTCGGCTTCACTTTGCAAAAGTAAAACTCGATTTACTCGAGCCATCACCGATGACCGCGTCCTTATCGATGCTTTAGTGTCCGGGGTCAGCCTGTTTTTTTCTTTCTATTTTTTTCTTTTTGTGAATCTTCGAAAAAAATTTTTTTCATTTTCTGAATCTGCCGACGAGTTCGTGTATCGCAAGACTCGGCTCTTATCTGTGCTGCGTGTAACGCTTGGCATATCGCTCATTAGAAATTCACTAATCGCTTCTTAATATTTTAGTCGAATTGCGATTTTCCGTGCGATCTAACGTGTATCGTTCGTTTGTAAAAGATTCGCCCAAAACGGAAATCGCGTTCCTTGTGATTGCTTGAGATTAGAAAAAGAAAAAAAAAAAAGATGGACGACGACGATAGGCAACCTTTAATTCGAAAGAAATTATTCGCAACAACGGACTCGTTGTGGTAAGACTTCTCAAATCCTGTAACGAAAAAAAAAAATTGAAAAAAAAAAGAAGATTGTTTATTGATCGGAAGAACCGTATCGAGGTGCAAAATTTCACATGCTTTGTACATGCTTCTTTATAATTTTCATACTTGACGAGCATACGTGCAAGTTACATATACATGTAGCGTACGTATAAAACAGCTTACTTCCTCTTAAGATAAGGTGGGACACGTTTCGTTTCGAATCACTCGCTTATCGCTGATTGCTATGTGTAATACTTGAATTTAATACTTGGCAGCGAAAACAATTCTGTTAACACTGCTAATGGGAAATGTTTGAAATGATGGTGCAAGAAATATGTGTTACTTATCAGAACTATCATTATAAAAGCTTTATTTCATTGTATGTTTTTATATCATTATAGAAGTTATCATTTATTAGAACTACCATTATAAAATTTTTATTTCATTATGTGCTTTTATATCGTTATAGAAGTTGTTATTTATTAGAATTATTATTATAAAAGTTTTATTTCATTATATGCTTTTTGTATTATTATAGAAGTTGCTATTTATTTGAATTATTATTACAGAAGTTTTATTTCATTATATGTCTTTGTATCATTATAGAAGTTATTATTTATTTGAACTATTATTACAGAAATTTCATTTCATTATCTTCAATAGATCTTCATTTTTTACAAGTGCTTAAAGGATACTCTTCATTATATGTTTTTATATCATTATATATATAGAAGTTATTATTTATCAGAACTATCATTATAAAAGTTTTATTTCATTATATGCTTTTATATCATTATAGAAGTTGTTATTTATTAGAATTATTATTATAGAAGTTTTATTTCATTACATGTCCTTTGTATTATTACAGAAGTTTCATTTCATTATATGCTTTTTATATCAGTATAGAAGTTATTATTTATTAAAACTATCATTATAGTTTTGTAAATAATTGTACAATTTTATTATTTTAACGCTATAACAATCAATATCTTCAATAGATCTTCATTTTTTACAAGTGCTCAAAAGATACAAGGATACTCTTTTGTCAAAATTAATATATATTGATCACTGCTTGGACAGAAACATAATTGTACAAATTTATTCATTTTAATTATCATTTAAATTTTAATGACTTATCTGCTGGAATATTTTGGTACGATAGATATTTTCATGTGTTTATTATATGTTTGTCAACCAAAGTCAAGTACATATGTAACGCTCGCTGTACAAGTGTTAACGTTCAGTTAGCCGTAACTGGAAAAAAATAGTTGTATGTACTATTATACATGCCTCGATGGCATTCTAACACTGATAACCTGTTTCTGAAGTTGACTGATAACGAATTTATTTCTTTTTCTTATTTTCTCTGTTTTTGTTTTTTTAAATAAAACTGATATATGTTGATGTTTCACTGATTTATTGATCTTAGAAATACTTGTCAATTTTAGCGTACAATAATTAATACTTAATTAATATAATACCTATATAATTAATACTTATTAAGTAGTGCAAGTAATATAATAAATATTAAGTAAGTTAAATAATAAGTATTAAGTATATTAAGTAATGAATTACTTCATATTAATTAATTACTTATTACTTCATATTAATAATTAATACAATACTTATATTGACACATGTAATAATTAATACAATATTTATATTGACACTTATAATAATGCAATACTTATATTAGCACTTATAATTAGTACAATACTTTATAATTAATTACAATATGCATATGCATATTGTTTTTGTACTCTTACACACACACACACACA